GCCTCCAGGGCGGCCCCAAAGAGGCCTCCAAGAGCACTCCCAAGAAGGCCCCCCGAGGCAAAAATCATTGATTTTCTTTTGGTTTTTGGTGAATTTTGAGGTTCTCCTCTTTTCGGCTTCCCGACGCTCTAAGACGGCGGTCTTCTGGGCGTCCGAAGCCGCCTGGGAGGCTCCCAAATCGCCCCACAACCATCCGAAAGGGCTTCCAGGCAGTCCAAGAGAGTCCCAAAACGGCACAACACGGGTCCAAGATGGCCCTCAGAGAGCCCCATGGCGGCCCAAGATGGCCCAAAGACACCCTCCGAAGAATTCTAAATCGTGGTTCGGTCGTTCAGGGAGACGGCGGTTGGAGGCAGGGTGGCCCGAGGAAGCCCCCGGAGGCCCCCAGAAAACGCCCAGGAGGCCTCCAGAAGGCCTCAAGAAAGCCCGGAACAACTTTTTTTGAGGCCCCTAGAGGCTCTCCAAGGATGGGGAGAATGCGCAGGGTTTGGCGAAAATAAGGAACAATAAGCATGGAGGGATAATAACGAATAACATCATTATGGCGGCGATGCCGGAAAAGGCAACCAGGAGTTATCGCTAAATTGTCGGCTTGACCTTCCTGCCATGCCGCCTGCATGCTAAACTTCAAGGACCAAGGTGCATGGCGCGAAGCGCCACTGCAGTCTTGTATATATATATATATATATACCTATACGACCACCCTTCGGGTGATAAGGAGGTTCGGGGGGGGGGAACCAACGTCTCACTCGATCGGTCTCACTATCGATCTGAGTATCGATCTCACTATCGGTCTCGCTCGATCGATCTCACTCGATCGATCTCACAATCGATCTCACTCGATCTATCTCATTCGATCGATCTCACAATTGATCTCACAATCGATCTCACAATCGATCACACAATCGATCTCGCATTTGGTCTCAATATCGATCTCACTATCGATATCACAATCGCTCTCACAATCAACGTCATCATCATCATCAACATCAACATCAACATCAACATCAACATCATCACCAACATCGTCATCATCATGAGGACACCGTTATCATCATCATCATCATAAACATCATCAACGTCAGCATCATCATCGGGACAATATCATCATCAGCATCACCGTCATCATTTCATCATCAACATTATTATCATCATCATCATCGGAACACAGTCATCGTCATCATCATCAGCAGCATCATCATAATCATCATCATAATCGGGACACAATCATGATCACCATCGTTCTCACCATCAACATTATCATCAACATCGTCATCATCCCCGGGACACCATCATCATCATGATCATCGCATCATCATCATCATCATCGACATCATCATCAACAACATCATCATCATTGGGGCACCATCGTCATCATGAGCAACATCATCATCAACATCGTCATTATCATAATTATCATCATCGGGACACCATCAACATCACCAATATCATCATCACCATCATCATCATCAACATCATCATCGGGACACCATAGCCATCATCAACATCATCATCATCAACATCATTATCGCCGGGACACCATTTCCATCAACATCATCATCACCAACATCATCGGAATCAGAATCATCATCATCATCATCATCATCATCATCATCATCATCATCATCATCATCGGGACACCATCATCGTCATCATCATCATCATCAACATTATCATCATGAACATCATCATCCTCATCATCGGGACACTATCATCATCATCATCGACACCATCATCAACATCATCATCATCTTCTTCAGGACACCATCCTCATCATCATCATCATCATCATCATCATCATCATCATCATCATCATCATCATCATCATCATCCTCGCGGGACACCGCGGGACACCGGCGGGACACCGCGGGACACCGCGGGACACCGCGGGACACCGCGGGACACCGCGGGACACCGCGGGGCCCCGGCCGCCCGGAAGGGAGTCATTTGGTCCGGCCGCGCCTCAGCCACACGGGACACCAGCGGGACACCGGCGGGACACCGCGGGCCACCGGCCGCCCGGAAGGGAGTCATTTGGTCCGGCCGCGCCTCAGCCACAGGAGACTTTCTCTCGCCCGCCCACGCAGCTTCGCCTCGCCCGCACGGCACGCACGAACACGAAACCGAAATCGATTTCCCGGTAGGGGGGCTCTCCGTTCCACTTCGATCGCACCCCCTCACCTCCGATATATATATATATATATACACATGTATGTGTATATATATATATACATACATACATCGGAGGTTGGGGGGTGAGATCGAAGTGGAACGGAGAGCACCCCTCCGGGAAATCGGTTTCGGTTTCGTGTTCGTGCGTGCCGTGCGTGTGGGCGATGCGAAGCTGCGTGGGCGGTCGAGAGGAAAGTCTCCTGTGGCTGAGGCGCGGCCGGACCAAATGATCCTCCCTCCGGCAAGCGGTGGCCTGCGGTGTCCTGCCGGTGACCCGCCGGTGTCCCGCTTGTGGCTGGGCCCTGGCCGGACCAAATGATTCTCCCTCCGGCAAGCGGTGGCCCGCCGGTGTCCCGCCGGTGTCCCGCTGGTGTCCCGTGGTGTCCCGTTGAGTAAGATCGATAGTGAGATCGATAGTGAGACCGATAGTGAGATCGAGAGGTGTCCCGCGGTGTCCCGTGGTTTCCCGTGGTGTCCCGTTGAGTGAGGTTGATTGGGAGATCGATAGTGAGATTGACAAGTATCCCGTGGTGTCCCGTGGTGTCCCAAAAAGTGAGATCGATAGTGAGATCGATTGAGTCAGAGGTTGGTCCCCCCCCTCTCCGCCCCCCACAACCTCCTTATCACCCGAAGGGTGGTCGTATAGGTATATGTATATATGCACATCGATGTGTGCACATGTCGTTCTATGTTCTCCAGTAGGTTATCATATGATGAGATACCCGTTTGCTTAATTTGAAGTCATCAACTCCATTGTCTGCGAAAAAACGCCCATCCACAATTGGTTTAGCAAGTCCCATTCGGCCCCAGCTTCGGTCCCCATTAAGTGTGAAAGCGCGTCTCTACGGCCGTGCTGGCTCGCGCACTTTCGTGAGCAGTGCGGCCAATTTGTTCGGCACAGCTGGTGGTGCCGAGATGGCGTTTACCTTTGGGAACTTCCCATCGCGTCGTAAAGCCCGCGCTGGCGCAGAGACACTTCAATGCGGGTCGGTGTTTCGGGCGGGCGCGATATCATGATGACGTCAGCACGGGCGGCAACGATAATTATTATATCAGATGATGGCAATGATGACGATGACGACGGCAGAGTCGATGACGGTGCCGGTGCTGGTGACGACGATGGCGATGATGTTGGTGATGCCCACAGTGATTGTGATGATGGTGGCGGCACTGGCGGCGATTGACGATCACGGTCACGAAGGAAATTCGATGGCGCTGATGAGGATGACGGGGACGTGCGCGTGCAGAAATGCAAGAAGTTTGGCAGACTTCTGCGTGATAGTCTATTCGCTTTTTATATGGTTTTGAAAGACTCTGTCTTGAGATGCTTCGCGAACCAACGGTGTTGGACGGATTTAGATGTGCGCGTGGCGGCGCGCGCATGTGGCCCGCATAGTGTTATTTCATACGGTTCTGTGCGCTGGGCGCATGCTATATCAACATGGATGTATCGCGTAGTGTGATGAGAATGCGGGCTCCTGATGAGAGTGATCAAATCAGACAGGGTTCCCAGGAGTTCAGAAAGTTTGCACGGGCAGGAAGTTGGCATGGTTTGCATGGAGAGAGCAATTTGTTTTAGTGCTTTCACGAGGAAGTGCGTTGACATTGACATGTGCTCGCGCGTGTGGACGTTGTGCCATTGTTTGCACCGGGATTTTGAAGCAATGGTATGTTATAAGTTGTGCCAATGGTGTTAGTCGACATCAACGAGGGGGGGAATGCCAATTTGGCCCGGATGGTATGAATTCACATGGGAATCCAATGATGATGGTGAGTCATCTGTAGATTGCAGTACACCAGGGGGTACACTTAATCCCGGAGGGTGTAGTCTATTGTCTGCACAGGTGTATCTGATGTAGACCATGTGGGGCAGCATATGTTGTGCAATCTATGTGGCGCAAGCATCGTTGTGTAGCCTCTGTGGCGTAACGTATGTGGGGAACGTCATGTGGAGGCTATGTGGTGCAAGCTGTGTGGTGCAAAGAGCGTGCTTGCTTTCTTTATGTGTATGTGTATATGTATGTATGTATGTATGTATGTATGTATATATATATATATATATATATGGTGCACTCTCGGTTGCGCTTGTTCGTTGGTGCAAGATACGTGTTGTGAAATGTGGTGCGGACTACGTGTTGGAAACGCTGTTGCGCAATATATATGTCGTAAGTAACGGTGCCCACCAGGCTCAACCTCGACACACCCAAAGTATGGTGCGCCCACCAGGCGCCCACAGGCGCCCTTAAGGCAAATCCTAGACTCACCCACTCGATTACTTACGAACCGACGTGCGAACCGTAGTGCAAGCACTGCTTGGGCAATGCATCTTCATACACATTATGCCCGAAGAAGAGTGAGAGAAGATGAGGTGGAGGAGGAGGAGGAGGGGGAGGACGAACCAACTGACGACGAGGCAGCTGAAGGATTAAGGACGGAACAGAGGAGGAACAAACGAGGGGGGGTTGGAAGGGAGAGGACGGGAGGAAGAAGGAGGTGGAAGGCGGGATTGGGGAATGGGAGAGGCAGGGGGAGGGAGGGAATGAGGAACGGACGAAGGCAGGAGATAGCAGGGAACATTCAGGACGGAGGAGGGTAGAGGGAGGAGGAAGGGGGAGGAGGGAGAGGAACGATGAAGAAGATGATAACATTGCCGCAGCGTTCCTGCCCAGTGAGCCCTGTGCCCCCACTTACTCTCCGTGCAGCCCCCTCTCGGCCCCCCTTTTTTCTTTGCTCCTCTTTCCCTCCTTATCCCGCAGCCTCCCAGCCACCCACCTCTGGGGAGGTCTGTCCCTTTTACCCCTTTCCTTCTGCCCTCCCATTTCCCCAAGGTGGTGCTCGCGGCAGTGGCGCAAAATGGCGCTGCTCTGGAGCGCTTTCTTTGGAAGCATTGCCGGAGAAGGAAATGGGTGGAATTTGGTGGGACCACACTGGTCATAGCGCTTCTCTAGGCGATTGATTGCGTGGCACAGCCCGCCCCCTTGTTATGTGTGACGTCGCCACAGTGTCGGTCTTGTATGACGGCTCAAAACATGCTTACCCCGGTCCCGATTGTATTCAGCGCGAGGCCAACTGGAGCATCGATGCAGAACCGCACTGCGTTGTAAAGCAGATGCTTCGTCGCGATGCAGCGACCCCAGGTTCGCAGGTAGCGGCACATGGGACAAGCTTTCTGAACAGTTGTAGCACAGTTGTTGCGCCGCAGGGTTGCAGAATCGTAGCACAGCAGCGCTTCGGCGAAACATGATTCTATGGCAGCAGCGCGCCAGACCAATGCACCAGCACTGCAGAAGCTTACAGCGATGTCACTGTAACATTGTAATTTGCGCTGACTCGTTGCCGCAGGAGCTTGCCGCGCCGGAGCTACGGCGCGACCGCGCTTTCACCCTGAAGGCGGTGGCCAGGCCCCCCGCTTCCGCCAGGAGGGAGGGGAAGGAGCACTACGCTTAAACTTTCCCACGCAGCAGCGCCAGGCGACAGTTTTGTTGTTTGTTACGACTGTCCGTCAGAAAGGCTGCCCCGTCTTGGGTTGTCCTCCGCCTCAGCTGGTCGCTCGAAGTGCGAGGGTTCAACTACTCAAGCCGTACTCACCATGCATATCCGCGCTGGGCGGCGCTTGTGAAGATTAAGAGCGTGAAGCTGAAATATAAAGGAACGCTTCCTCGTGCTACCAATAGCCACCAGAATTCAACCACCTTCCGTGGGACCCGATAGGAGGGCCCCAACTCGAGTCTTCCTTGCGATTGGCTCATAAGCGAGGCTCCCGCTCGAGACATCCTCATATTTCGGATAGGCGCCCAAACTCAAACCAATCGCTTTGCAAAGGTTCCAGGAAGGGAAAACGGACCATATCGGGGGTGACTGTTATTGGATTGCCATTTTTACGCAGAGAGGGTTTGTTATGTGTTGGGTCCAGCATACAAAAATTGAAGCACACAAGGTCTGGGTAATTATGGTGTTTGAACTGATGTCGCCAGGGCTTCTCTTTTGACTGAAGACAAGAATGGGCAGCGCGTGGGCACCGCGGTGGCACTGCGCCAGCAGGGCGACTGCAGCCGCCAGGACCCTCATGGGACAGATTCTGGATCCGTTGTTCGCCTTGTCCGAACCCCAAGGGAAGCGCTTCCAGCGAAAACCTCAAAGCGCGGCCAAGCGCGCTTGCACCTATCTGCGCAATGTGTGGACCGCCGAGCCTTGGCCTGGCCCTGCGCGCACTGCAGCAGAAAGCCTCGTGGCGTTCCGTGCCCCCTCTTCCTCTGATTGAGCCTGATTAAGATAAACGATGTTGCTGCTTTACGCCTGTGCAGTCGGGCGTTCGTCCAAGACGTCCAGCAGAAACTGCACTGACTCGAGTCCGAGCTCTGCGTGCAACCCTTTGCGAAGGGGCCTGCCATCGCAAGATAGTTTGAACAGGATCAATGAATACACTGGGTTGAATGTTTGCCTCCGCTCCCCATCTACGAGACGCGAGCCGATCCACGGTGGTGGGCCGTATCGAGTGGCTCGGTCGCGTCCCAGCGCCAGCAACGCTTCAAGTTGATTGCCCTTTGCAGGCGCGATCGCTCAGAGACTGCTCAGAATTGGAGCCTTAAATCCGTCGTGGTTTGAGGGCAGGAGGGTACAGCAGTCTCGCGGCGACAGCTTGGTGGCTTTGGCCGTTCGGGGCCTCGTGGCAGCATCGTGCCAGCGCTTCTTCACGCGTTGCGTGCCCGCCCGTGTGAGCGGCGGGGCGGGGGTCGGCCGTCCACACCGACGGGGGTTGACGTCACCTCTTCGCGGTTGCACTGCCCAGATTTCCGTTCCGAGTGCCCAGTGTCGTGCGGTGCCGTTTGGTTCTCGTCAGCCCAGAGTGCGGTTCTGGATCGCAATTATGGTACTCGCGGGCTAACTACACGCCGCAGGTACGGAAGATGTACCCTCACGGGGGATTCGGTCGAAGGGGACGGGTAGCGAGGATTCGGGATATACGTGTTGAATGGCACGCGAGCAGGCAAGAGCGAACAGTTTGAAGAAACTTCTGTGTGATCTTCCCTGTTCGGTGGTCATGGCACTTTTCCATGAAAGTGCCCCTCCCTGGGCTTACACGTTTTTACCTAAAACAAAAAATGTGGGGTCACCAAACTGCGCAGTTGGGCCCTGAACTACAACAACAATGGCTCCTGCATGATACATCCTCATAATGTATTGAGAAATCGCGCTCTCGTAAGGAACTTCATCATAATCTATGCAGGGGTCGCGATTTCGCGTGGGACTTTCTCGCAATTTATTCAAGCGCCGTGCCCTCGGTGCTCTATTTTCACTCTCGCTCTAGTTTTTCTCGCGATTCACTTCGGAATCGCGCTATCGCTCGAGTTCTCTTCGCGACTCATGCACTACTCATGCTTCAGCAAACCGCCTGCTCGGCCTGGCCGCTTGTGCCCGCCTTCCCGGCCCGCCCGTGGGGGTCTATCCGCCCGATCAGCTCGTCTGGATCTGCCACGTTTTTTCTGATCCCAGCCCCGCTCTTGCTAACCCCGTGTCCCATCTTTTTTCCCCCCCTCTTTCTCCATTTTTTCCCTCCGTCCCATCTTCCCGTGTTTTAGTGGCTACACCAATTACGCGTGGCAGGTAAAGAAGATTTGCGCGCAAGGGGGTACGGTCTAAGACGAAGAGGGTGGGTATCGAGGGTCTGAGATATACGTGTTGAATGGCACGCGAGCAGGTAAGAGCGAACCGTCTTAACATAATTGTTGTTGCTGTTGCTGCTGCTATGGCTGCTCCTGCTGATTTCTCTCGTGTGTCATCCTTCTCTCTCTCCCTTCCATCGGCCCTGCCTTCCCATGTTTTCGTTGTTGTTGCTGTAGTTGGTGAACTCGCGCTTCTGAGTAATATCTATCGTTGACCCCCACCAGCGCACATTGTGTTTTTCTAGTTGAAGCGCCCCTTCCGGAGGTAGCACTTTGTTTTTGCTAGGGAAAGCCTTGAGGCTCAAACTTGTCTTCAACACCGGCTCCCGCCTTATCTTTTCTTACAATGTATGCCAACATCGCGCCCTCGTGCGGGACGATCTCACGATGTATGCAGGAGTCGCGCTCTCGCGTGGGGTTTCTTTACAATTTATTTACACGCCGCTCACTGGACACTCAGGAATCACGCGCTCGCTTGTCCCGCGATATACTTGGGAGTCGCGCTATCACTCGAGACTTCTTTGCGATTCTTGCAGGACCCACGCTTCAGCAAGCCGCCTGCTCAACCTGGCCGCCTGGGCCCTCCTTCCCGACCCGCTCGTTAGGGTATGCCCGCCCGGTCTGCCCGCCTGGTTCTACAACGTGTTTTCTGGTCCTAGTCCCCCTTCTGCTAATCACTCCCGTGCTCCATCCTTCTCTCTCCCCCTTCTGTCCTGGCTTCCCCTGCCTTAGGGGCTGCACTAAATGCGCGTGGCAGGCAAGGAAGATATACCCCCGAGGGCGTACGATCGAAAACGAAGAGGGCGGGTACCGAGAGTTTGTGATATACGTGTTGGATGGCACGCGAGCAGATAGTAGCGAGCAGTCTTAAACTGAGTGTTGTTGTTGATGTTGTTGTTGACTTCTCGTTACTGAAGAGCAATGATTGTTAATCCCCCCTCCAGTGACATTTTTTTTGTCAATTGAAGTGCTTCCCCCAGGGTTCGCACCCTGTCTTTTTTTTGTAGTAAAGGAAAGTCACTCGGCTCAAACTGCGCGCTGGCTTTCGGACTACAACAGCAACGGCTCCCGTCTGAGACTTCCTCACAATGTATTCCCAAATCGCGCTCTCGCAATTTTTTCAGGCGCCGCGCCCTCGACATTCAGGAGTCACGCTCTCGCTGCGGATTTCCCACGATTGATTTGGGAATCGAGCTGTCGCTCGAGACTATCTCGCGATTCACGCAGGACGCACGCTTCAGCAACCCGCCTGCTTGACCTGGCCGCCTGGGCCCTCCTTCCCGACCCGCCTGGTAGGGTCTACCAGCCCGATCTGCCTTTCTGGTTCTGCCACGTGTTTTCTGCTCCTAGCCCGTGCTCTATCCTCCTCCCTCCCCCTTGTCCTTCCTTCCATCCGTCCTCTCTTCCCCTGCCTCAGGGGCCGCGCGAAATACACGTTGCAGGTAAGAAAGACATACCGATATGACCACCCTAAGGGTGATAATGAAGTTGGGGGTGGGAGGAAGGGGGAGGCGGTCGATTTGCGATGACTCCCACCTGCCGCCACCAGAGAGTGCGCGGGGAAATCAATACCATCTACATCCGCTTGCTTCTATCTTACTAATCAAGATATCTTCCCATATTTCTATAATTACACCAATATTTCTATATATCTGTCCATCGAGTCGGCACATCACTCAGTCTATATATGTATATATGTATATATATATATATATGGTCAGCCCCCCCCCCAGCACCCCGTGTGCACCCATCGCTCTCTTTCCGTTGCTCCTCCTCCTCCTCCTCCTCCTCCTCCTCCTCCTCCTCCTCATCCTACTCCTTTCCTCCTCCAAATATGAAAACGAAGAGGAAGAGGATGAGGAGGAGGAGGAGGAGGACCAGGAGGTTGAGGATTAGGATGAGGAGGAAGCCATGCTATTCACATTTTTTTTGTTTTTTGGTCAGGGAAGCCACGAAACCTTGCTATTCACAGTTTTTTTTGGTTTTTTTGGTTTTCAGAAGCTCCACAAACTAGGCCAGGAGGTCTTATGGACGGCTGAAAACCAAAAAAACATGTGAATAGCAGCGTTTGGTGGCCACGATCCCACCAAACGCTGCTATTCACATGTTTTTTTGGTTTTTTCGGTCTAGGAAGCCACCAGACGCTGCTATTCACATTTTTTTTTTTTTTTTTGGTTTTCAGAGGCTCCGCAAGCCCCCGCGGTCCCCTTCTGGCCAAGCTTGTGGAGCTTCTGAAAACCAAAAAAACAAAAAAAACATGTGAATAGCAAGGTTTCGTGGCTTCCCTGACCAAAAAAACCAAAAAAACATGTGAATAGCATGGTTTGGTGGGCAGTGGTGCTTTGCAATAGAATTTCTTTGTGCGGCTTTCCAATAGAATCCCTTTGTGGCGCTTTCCAAAGGATTCCTTTTGTGAGGCTTTCCAATAGAATTCCCTTGTGATGCTTTCCGAAGGATTCCTTTTGTGAGGCTTTCCAATAGAATCCCTTTGTGATGCTTTCCAAAGGATTCCTTTTGTGAGGCTTTCCAATAGAATTCCTTCTCCTCCTCCTCCTCCTCCTCCTCCTCCTCCTCCTCCTCCTCCTCCTTCTCCTCCTCCTCTCACTCCTCCTCCGTCTGTTCTTCCTCTTCCTGCGCGCAAGTGCGCGCTGGCGAAGCGCGCGATAGCGCCCGCGCGCAGCTGAAGATGATGATGTTCAGCTCACTTCACTACGATCGCAAACAATATGCGGATCCGCGCACATTTCGCCTGGGCATTGCCATATCATTCGCCCGACATATCGCAACGCGGGTGGCATCTATATGAAGAGGGGCAATGTGAACACACCTCTGGTCTCAAGAACTAACTCGGCCCAAGCGAAATAGACAACAAGCGCAAACGCGCGCCGTACGCCTGGCCACTCTCACTCCGAACGCCAAGCCTGTCGCCACTAGATCACTCCGCCTGGCCACCTGGCTGCTCCTGCGCGCCGATCTCCAAGCGGGCTCGGCTGCGTCAGCGAGAGAGCTCACTGAGCGTGGTCCTTGGCCCACGCGTCGCGGAGCATCTGGCCGGTAGCGAGCCAGAGATCGCTGCCGCGGTTCCAGTACGTCCACTGGAAGGAGCGCACCTTGCATAGGCCAGAGAGCGAGCAGCAACTGCGCATGTCGCGCTGGGCCGCCTCTCCAAACCTCAGCGCATGCCACCCGCCAACCTTTCCCGCGCCGGGCAACACCTCCCACCCCCCTGGGCGGCGTTCAGCTGCACTGAAGATTGAGGAGACAGCGCCTACGCAAACAAACGCGTTGCACGTCGTTCATCTGGCCTGCCTTGTTGCGGAGAAGGACAGACCCCACCGTCTTCGCAATGCCCTTGCCGACCGCCTTGCGCAGGTCGCCCCACGCGCGGTCGATCACCTGGGTGCCGCACTTCACCCACAAGCGCTTCGTCCCGCTGGGCTTGCTCTGGTCAGGGACGTCGTGGTAGCGGATCTTCGTGAATGCCGGCTTCAGCCACACCCACTTCCCGCCAACCCGCACCCTTTTCTTCTTGTGCACGACCCAGTCGTGCAAGACGCCATCGACTTTCATCTTGTAGGACCTCGCCCCGTCCGTGTGGAGGATGACGCGGCGGTGCTTTAGCCACTTGGACGCCATGGGCGCCCAATCCCTCTTCCGAATCGGGCCAGGGCCAGGCGCCCTACGCTTGGCCTTCTCTGGCTTCAACCTGAAGAGGACCAAGGACCTGGGGTGCCCCCGCTGCGCGATGCCGCCCCACTGCTCCCAGATGATGGGCTTCTGCGTGCGGGGGCCAGCGTTCGGGTCCTCGCCCTTCGCCACGTCGACCTCGTCCGCCTCCACGTCCGCCACTCGAGCGCGTTGCCGTCCTGGTCATGGCCAAAGGAGATGTTCCTCTCGTGGGAGTTGACGTACTTGGCGCGGGCTGCATACAGCGCAGAGTAAATGCCCTCTGTCATCTTGTGGCTGTTCTTCAACAAGAGGCGGGCGGACGTCTGCGAGCACTGGGCCACGGCGCAGAACAGCGCGGCGGCCTGGTCCGCCAAGCGCCCCCCCGACGACCCCGTGCCGCATTTGAAGATAGGGTGGAAGGCGTGCGGCATGAGGAAGCGTCGGCAGCAGTCGCTCGAGCATTTGTGGGTCCACCCGCCCTTCTTCTTGCCATGGTCCTTCAAGGGGCCCAGCTTGCCGATCTGGCAGTAGGGGCACTTCGCGCCCTTCCACTCAGGCAAGACCTTGTCCTTCTTCAAGCGGTCGATCACCTGCTTGGTCGTCGCGTTCACGAAGTCCTTCAAGCACCGAGCCCATGCTGCCCTGTCGAGGCGCGACCTGACCGAGGAAGACCCGTGGCGCGTGTATGGGACGTTCTTCGGTTTGCGCAGGAGTGAGCTCTTCTTCGCCTTCTTCATGGGCACGGGCCGCATGGCCATGCGAGCCTTTCCGCGCTTGGCGACTGGCCATGGCTTACCCATGGGCGACGCGCGCGGGGTGGCGGCCGCCTGGCTGCCGACGGGGCTGGCGGGCGGGCTCGGTGGCTTTCTCACACTTGAGCCAAGAACGACAGGGTTCGAATCGACCGAGTGGTGGCAGTGGAAGACGGCAGGTTGAAGACTACACGTGCGATCGCCCACAGAACCCGCTGAGGATGATGCTGTTTCGCACAGTTCACAACCGTCGTAAACAATATGCGTATCCGCGCACATTTCGCATGGGCATTCCTATGTCACTCGCCCAACATATCGCAACGCGGAAGGCATCTACATCTGGAAAGCGAACAAGCATATACATCAATGCATTCATATCAGCTCGCTCCAGCCGTCATAAACAACATGCGTCGCCGCGCACCTTTCGCCTGTGCGTTCCCGCGTCACTTGCCAGGCCAGCTACCGCTGGATCAGTCCGTCTGGTCACCCGGAAGCTGGCTCGCGCCGCCAACGCGCTCCGCCTCGATGTCATCGAGGAGCGTCTCCATTTCGGCATCCAAGTCGACGCCATCGTCGTCCACCACGAGGGTCTCGCCGTGTGCCTGCGCCACAATGGATGCGAAAATCGCCTGCTGCTCCTGGATGTCCACGGGGGAGAGCGGCCCGCCGCAGGCCAGACCCGTCTTCCTGGTCTGGGACGGGGTGCTGGGGGGGGGGCTGAGCTATATATATATATATATATATATATATATATATATATATATATATTTATTCATCAATCAATCGATCTATCGAGTCGATCCATCAACCAGTCTATCTAACCACCTACTTATATGGGCAACCATCGGGTCAACCATCGGGGCAACCATCGGGACAACCATCGGCACAACCACCAGGACAATCATCGGGACAACCATCGGGACAACCATCGGCACAACCATCGGGACAGGCGTCTGGACAACCATCGGGACAACCGTCGGGACAACCATCGGGACAACAACCGGGACAATCATCGGGACAACCATCGGGACAACCATCGGGACAACCATCGGCACAACGATCGGGACAACAATCGGGACAACAATCGGAACAACCATCGGGACAACCATCGGGACAACAATCGGGACAACCATCGGGAGGCCCGCCCGGCCGGGGGGGAAGGGCGGCCTTTTGGGCTCCACGTGGCCTCTAACAGTGCAGGAATTCGTGCAGCTTCGCCTCGCCCGCGCGCGCGACACGAACCGAAACCGAAACCGATTTCGTGGTTGGGGTCACGTCCATCCACAACCCCCAAACCTCCGACTCCAAGGGTGTACGGTCGAGGACGAAGAGGGCGGGTATCGAGGGTTCGGGATATTTGTGTTGAGTGGCACGCAAGCAGATGAGAACGAACAGCCCTAAAATGATTGTTGTTTTTGTGGGTGGTGTTGGTGTTGTGGTTGTGGTGGAGGTTGTTGTTGTTGGCGAGGCCAGGGACCTGGTACCCTGGGTGCAGGGTGCCAGAGACCCGTCCCTGCCTTGTTGTTGTTGCTGTTGTTGTTATTGTTGCTGCTGCTGTTGTTGTTGTTGTTGTGGTTGTTGTCTTTGCTGCTGTTGCTGCTGCTGTTGTTGCTGCTGTTGAATATTCATCTCTAGCAACTATTTCTTGCTGGCCTCCAGAAACGGTTACGCGCGCTCTCGCCCCGACGCCGGATGCAACTCCTGTGAAACCGAGGCTCCCGCTCGAGCGCGGGCTTGATTGTAAATGTGGGCCTTCGGAGCCCGAACTCAGGAACAGCGCTCTCGCTCGAGACATCCTGACAGGTGAGTCAAGTCGGCGGGGGCCCAGCCACGACGACGAGAGCTCCTGTTCGATACGTCCTCGCGATTTACTCCGAGAGCCAATTCGCCAGGAAGGCCCCCGGACTCAGGAACAGCGCTCGCGTTTTAGAATTCCTCGTAATTCTTTCGAGTTGTGGGAAGCCCAACTACGACGACACGGTCTCCCGCTTGATACTTCCTCACGATTTGCTCCGAGAGGCCCTGGCCAGAGAGGCCCCCGAACTCAGGAACGGAGCTTTCGCTGGAGTCGAGTCAAGTCCGGTCGAGGGGCCCATGGAGGCACCTCGCTCCGCAAGCGGAGCCGGAGGGCGTGAGACACTACGGCAACAAAACGCGCATGCAAGAGAAACGTAGTGGACAGGGCAGCAATAAATTATACATAGTAGTATACATCAGTCGCTCTTCATGAAATCTAGAAAATGCTTTTCCATCCGCTTCCAAGGGAAAGGCTCCTGGCTGCGAATCGCATTCATTAAATTCGTGCCGTGCTCTTGTCGCAGAAATGAATCGACGGCATCTGTCCATCTTCGGCGTGGCCGCCCTCGGCGTCTGATGCCGTCCGGACGCCACCGTAGAACTTGCGCCAGCCATTCTCGCGAGCCGCCGGTGGCGAGTCGCGCCACGAGGCGCCACATTGAGCGATCCAACACGACAAGCCAGTTCGACACAAGAAAAATCTTCAAAGCAACGGTCACTTTCTGCTTGGTGCGTCGCCCCGCTTCCTCCCAACTTTCGTGGGAAAGCTTGCTGAGACCAACTATCCGGCGGAGCATTTTTGAGCGCGTCGATACAACTCGCGCCCGCTGCTGTGCTGTCATGGCTGTTGTCGAAAGACCGTAAACAGCCGTGGGCGTAGCAATCGCGTCGAAAAGCTTCAAACGAAGGCGCAAAGATATAGATCTGTTCAAAAGTACTGCCTTCTGGGAATGGAACTTCCCCCATGCGCACTCCATGCGGTAGTTCACATTGCACTCTGACCTATTGCGCAAGTCGCCCCCGAATTTCTTACCTAAATACTTGTGAAACACCTGGGACGTCATAACCGGCAACTGGCAATCGGCAAGCTGCAGAATGGTGGGCTCTGCGGCATTGGAAACAGCAACGTCGTTAGTAAATATTTGCGTTTTGTCTGCATTCAATGACAGGCCGCATGCTGACAATTCTTCCGAAAGGATGTCCAGCATGCGACAAACCTCTGCTGCAGAACGAGCATATAGTAAAATGTCGTCGGCGTACCGTATATTGCTAAGCAAGCTGACGCCTCCAACGTCGAAGCCGCACTGCCGAGCACGCAGCTTGAACTTCCGAATTGCGTGCTCCAAGCCGGCGTTAAAGAGCAATGAAGACAAAACGTCTCCTTGCTTGACGCCGCGCGTAATGTCGAACGCTTCACTTCCATTGACGCTGCCCCATTGGGCACTGTAGATGTCTGACAAGAGACGCACAGATTCTACATGAACTCCCTGCTCCGACAATGCCTGGAAAAGCACGTGGTGTTCCAGCCTGTCCAACGCTTTCGCGAGGTCTATGCTAGCGATCCACAGTGGGAGTTGCCACTCCCAAGCTTTCGTGGACAGATCCTCCAGAACAACAAAAGCGTCGTCCACGGAGCGGCCTGGACGGAATCCTACCTGGTCATGTGTTTGTTCTTTCTCTAGATCAGGCTGCAAGCGTGCAAACAGTAATCGTGCAAAAATCTTATATGTGATGCGTAAAATGGCTATGGGGCGCCAGTTTTTTACATCATGTAATTCAGTCTAGTTGGTGGAGGCCCAGCTGCGATGACAAGGGCTCCCGTTCGATGCTTCCTCACGATTTACTCCGAGAGGCCCTGGCCAGAGAGGCCCCCGAACTCAGGAACGGTGCTCTCGCTCGAGACTTCCTCGTAAATCAGTCGAATTGGTGGAGGCCCAGCCACCATGACACCATGACAAAAGGTCCCGCTCGATGTTTCCTCACGAATGATTCCGAGAGGCCCTGATTCGGGAGGCCCCCGAATTCAGGAACGGCGTTTTCGCTCAAAATTTCAATTCATTTCAGTGTGTGGACAACAAGGAAGATGTTTCTCCCCAAAGGGCGTGCGCTCGAAAACGAAGGGGGGGGGTATCGAGGTTTGGTGTTGTTGTTGCTGCTGCTGTTGTTGTTGACGTTGTTGTTGTTGTCGTCGTCGTCGTCGTCGTCGTCGTCGTCGTCGTTGTTCTTATTGTTGCGGCTGTTGCTGATGCTGTTGTGGTTGTTGATGTTGTTGTTGTCGTTGATGTCGGTGTATTATCGGTATGGTTGTTGTTTTTTTTTATGTTGCTGGTGTCGCCTTCGTTGTTGGTGTTGTTGTTGTTGAGTTCCCATTTTGAAGGGATTATTATTGTTGATCCTCCCCGCCCGGTGACCATTGTGTTTTTTCAGGTAGAGTGCTTCTCCTCAGGCTCGCACCTTGTGTTCTTATCCATGAACGTGGGGTGTCACCAGACTGTGTTGTGGGCTCCATGTTTACAACAACAGCGGCTTCCGCTTGATACGTCCTCGCAATTTCTTGAAGTCGCGAGCTCGCGCGGGACTTCCACACAACTTCTGCAGAAATCGCGCTCTCGCGAGGGACAATGTGTTCAAACGCCGCCCCCTCGACACTTAGGACTCACGCTCTCATTTTGCACTTCCTCACGATGTACATGGGGATCGCTCGAGGCCTCCTCGCGGTTCATG